GTTGCCTTAATTTGTCGCGCCCCGTGTATATTCCCCGTTTTAACCTTTAGTGGCCGTGTTCGCTAAACACGATCAATATTCTCTCCACTTTTAAGCGATTCTGTTAATTGGAGCATGGGACAAAAACGCTTTAAGGCAAGTTTTCCATCTGGGACCAATCAAGCCCAAATTGTTTCCCCGAGTTTTTCCTCTCTCGTGATCCGGACAACGATAATCTTCGTCGAGAAAGAGGGAAATCCATTACGAAAGAAAAGATTTTCTCGCAACTGCAATTTTTATTAATTAACGAACTCGAACACTACACGAGTTCGTGGTTGCGTCGAGCATGTGCTGGAACGCTTCTAGTAACACGCGTTCTTCCGAGTAATTGATATATGGCGGAAATGCGGTTGTCGCGCCCTTAGTCTTCGAGTTGACTTGTTTGTAAATGAAAATCGTCGAGTTAAATTTTGCGCGAAAGTAGGATAAACGCGACCGCAGCACTGGTGTACTGTTACAAGTGGATCATTTTCAATAAGGGTTGTCGTAGTTGCTGTAATGGGTTGGCTAGGGACAATTAATCTACACTTTGCACTACTGATGGTTTTTCTTTATTTTGTAGTTTTCCACAAATACAGCGACTGAATATCATTCGCGCGACGTTCTTAACGGCTCTAGTTTACATTTGGTTTTTCAAGTTCTTATAATAGGTACTTAGTTAATGAGGTGAAGGGAACAAGACGCCTAAAACTAACACATTTGACGATATTTTAATGAATACAAGGAAAATACCCAACACCTATAAGAAGAGAAAGGCAATAGTGTTTAATGGAAAAATATGACAAATTACGAGTACATTACACCTTCCCCCATAACAACAAAATTAATAGCTACTTAGGCTATTAATTTTGCTTTACAATTAACAATAGAATTTAATGGTTTTTCATCTTTAGTTGACAACTGCGGATACATTGAAACTGATTCGGGAATCTGATCAGGTGAATTTACTATACTATCAGATACCGGGTAGTATCTTACTTCAACTGGCGGAACAGTCTGTTGACTGTTACGCTGACACATTTGAAAAGGACAGAAATTAATATTTTGTTTCTTAACATACTTATAATAACAATAGTAAATAAACCTAATTGTAACAATTAAAATCATTAATTTAATTATTATTACAACAGTATATGTCACGGTATTTGGTACATTTGGTATTAGAGAATTATCTTCAATTAACTTATCAGTTTTTTGTTTTTAACAAGAATAGTGTAATTAACGGGTGACTGTATGTCGACAATTTCATAAGGACCTTTGTAGTTAGGGGTAAGCTTTTTAGAAGTACCGGGCTTCGAGTGTTCGTTTAAAAGAAAAACTTTATCACCGATTTGAAATTTTTGTTTATTACACCGTTTATCATAGTATTGTTTGTTGCGCTCTTTAGAATCAAGGATGTGGTTTCTAGCGATTTCTTGAGATTTTTGTAATTTTAGAGTTAGGTTATCAATATAGTCATCGTATGTGTATTTAAAATCGGGGTTTTTTGTGATATTTGAGGGTAAATTTGCCTTATTACCAAAGATCAATTCAAAAGGAGTAAACTTCGTGCTTGAATGAACTGTAGTGTTGTAAGAAAACATAGCAAAATCTATCCATGAATCCCAATCTGTTTGATCTTTGTTAATATAGTGTTTTAGATAGTCGGCTAAGGTATGATTGACTCCGTTCTAGAGCTCCATTGCTCTGGGGGTGATATGCAGAACAGTTTATCTGTTTTATCTTAAACAATTTGGCTACTTGTTTTAGAAGATTAGAAGTAAATTCACGACCTTGATCTGTTACTATTATAGACGGAATGCCAAATTTACAAATAAATTCACGTACTAAAATTTCAGCAATAGTTTCAGCTTCATGACTCGTGATGGCATAAGCTTGTGAATATTTGGTTAAGTCATCTTGTAGGGTGAGAATGAACCTGTTACCCTTTTCACTTATAGGTAATGGTCCGACGATGTCTAGAAAGATTTTCTCAAATGGAGTTTGACTAGTGGTCGTTATCACCATTGGTTCTTTATGTTTTTTGCGTACTAACTTATTTTTTTGACAGGATTCACAAGTTCTTAGAAATTTTCTAATATCGTTTTTCATACCAGTCCATTTATAATTCTGTTTGATTCTATTATACGTTCTGTGATAGCCTGAATGTCCTGACACGGGATTGGAATGATTTTCAATGAGAATTCTATTAATTTCATCTTGAGTAGTAGGTATGATCAAATCATTATGATAAACCTTGATTTTTATGTTTGTACCGTGGAAAATATATCTAATCATTGAACGAATCTTTTTCCAGTGTAAATTGTCAAAAGAGGTACTTAATTTTGGAATGCTAATACTTTCAATTTTATCGTTGAGTAATTCAGCTTTTAGTTGCAGTAGAATATCAAACAATTTTTCATATGAAGTCGTTTCCCAGTGATACTGTTTATTGATTAAATAATAAAACCTTTTTGTTTTTTCGCTTACTTTAATAATTTTAGGGGGATTTAAATCTTGTTCAAGTAATATTAAATGGTGATCTGGAAATTTCTTTTTAAATTGTTGTTGTACCATGTCTTTGTCGTCTAGGTCGCTAGATAAGCATAGTGCTATATTATCTGATGAATCAATTAGGTTATCGTTAATTTCTTCTAAATTATCATTTATAATTATAGTGAATTGTAAATTTCTTAAAAAATCGTTATAAGTTTTCATAGTATTTGTTTGGATCTGATTGATTTCTACGTTATTTGTGTTTTCTTTTGCATCTTCTGAGTTGGTTCTACTTAAAGCATCGGCAACTTTATTTAATTTTCCGGGTTTATATATTATTTGATATTCATATTCTTCTAATGCCAGTCTCCACCGAATCAAACGTGAGCCAGGATCTTTTACATTAAATAACCATGTTAGAGGTCGATGATCAGTTATGATTTTAAACTTCCTGCCATACAGGTATGGGCGAAAATGTTTGACACTCCAAACAATAGCTAAAAGTTCCTTCTCTGTAGTGGAATAGTTCATCTCTGCCTTGTTTAAAGTTCGACTAGCGTATGCTATAGGTAAATCATTTGGAGGTTCACCTTGCGAAAGTACTGACCCTATTGCAACATTACTGGCGTCGGTTGTTAAATAAAACGTTTGTTCGAAATCTGGAAACTGCAGAAGCGGTTCCATACTTAAGGTCGTTTTAAGATTTTCAAAAGCAAATTGCTGTTCGCTGGTCCAATTAAATTCAGAATTTTTCTTTAGTAATTTTGTTAGAGGTTGCGCTATTGATGAAAAGTTTGCAATAAATTTTCGGTAATATCCGGCTAATCCAAGAAATCCTTTAACATCTTTTGGTGACCTAGGGGTAGGGTATTGTAAAACTGATTTAATCTTTTCTGGATCTGGTAAAACGCCATTGTCTGTTATTTTATGACCTAAGTAAACTACTTCACGCCTAAGAAATTCACATTTATCTGGCTGAATCTTAAGGTTATGGTTTGATAAACGTTGAAAAACTTCTCTTAATCTTTTATTGTGTTCTTCTAAGTTGCTACCGTGAACTACTATATCGTCAAGATAAACAAAGCAGTGGTTTTGGATTCCTGTTAAAACGTTATTCATCAATCTTTGAAACGTCGCTGGAGCGTTTTTAAGACCGAAAGGCATGCGATTAAATTGATAATGACCAGTGGATGTCGAAAATGCAGTTTTTGGTGCATCGTCTTGAGACATTTTAATTTGGTGAAAACCAGATGTGAGATCAATAACTGAAAAATATTTTGAATTACCTAGTTGATCCAAAATTTCAACAATGTTAGGTAGTGGGTAAAAATCTCCAATAGTTATATCGTTTAATTTCCTATAATCAACTACAATTCTCCATTTTTTAGTTCCAGAGGCATCCAATTTTTTGGGCACAACCCATATTGGGGAATTCCAAGGGGAATTAGACGGTGATATAATACCTTGCTCACGCATTTGATCAATTTGTTTCGTTACTTCATTTTTATGAATTTCTGGAAATCTGTATGTTCTTGTATGGATGGGTATTTGAGAATTAGTCGGTATTGTATGCTCGACAGAATCTGTACAGGTCAAAACGTCACCTTCTACGTGAAAAATCTGGTTATATTCAAGACATAGTTTTGTTAAAGACTCTTTTTCTTCTGGATTCAAATGATCTGTCCTCAATAAACTCGTAATTTTATCAAGCCTTTGCGATTTGTAATTTTGATCTGAGTGTATTTTGGAAACATTCAGGTTTGAAGATTCTACTGGGATTGGGTCTAATACAATTTCTATATTCTTTACATCAATAATTTTTTCTGTAGTGTTTAATATTGAAGTTATAAATTCGCCATCTCTGTTTACCTTAACAGCGCTAGGACATAAATGAACACCATCTAAAATTTGTAACTTTGGGCAAATGCCTTCTTTGATATTACTATTAATTGCTTTGACTTTAACAATTGTCTCCGTTCGTGGAGCTAACTGAAACTTGACTTGCGTGTTTGAATTAGGATCAAAATTTTTACTACTGTCTTGTCTAGAGCTATTTTCTTTAAAACCTTGTGAATAATTGTTAGAGTTATCTTCATCAATATGGAAAATTGTCAAAAATGTATTACCAATAAAAAGTTTTTTCTGTTTATAACTTATATCACAATTGAAACTTCGAAAGAAATCATTACCAAGAAGACCATCTAATGGAATTTGGAAGTTATCAGGTACTACATGAAAGATATGAGTCAATTTCTGACCATAGATATAAATATCGAAATAACAATAACAAAGTGTTTTAGTATGTAGAGTTGTGTTTGGATCTATTCCTTTTAATGTAATAATGTTATCTACATAGCAATCCGTATCGCCTTTAAGTTGAGATACTTTAATGAGAGAAATATCAGCGCCTGAATCTAAAAGAAATTTATTTTTTGGGTTTGATAATTGATCAATTTTTTAAGAAACATATGAAGTAGATGCAAGATTTATAGTTGAGATCCGGCTTGCAGAATATGTGTAGCCTTCAGAGGTGCCGGTAAACTTGAAGGACCGGGGAAGTTTAAATTGCTGTTATTCGTGTTATCATTAGTACTACAATTATTTCCATTTCGATTATCATATTTCGAACTATTGCCGTAGCTGCGATTATTCTGATTACAATTATTAAATTGGCTATATCGTGTTCTATCACTATGTATTTTATGATCATCATCGCGTTGTTTTTTCCGACAATTTCTACTAATATGTCCAGGAATTTTACAATAATAACAAAATTTTGATCCAAAACCTTGACTAAAATTATTATTATTATTAAATTGATTAAGTGTATTATTAGACGAATGTGATTTAGAAAATGTTCTGGTGGTATTCTGCATATGATGTACGTGTAAGTTACGGTTATTAAATTTATTCCGACAATTAGTTATAGAATGTCCCGATTTTCGGCAAAAATTACAAAACTGACCAGAAAGTGAACCAGAGCGAAATTTTTGGATTTCAATTTTAGATCTTATTTCTTGTTCTTCATTAATTGCTATCGAAATTGCGTCTTCTAAACTATCTGGTTTTTGTGCCTTTACTAACAATGCTAGATCCTTGGTTAGTCCTGCCACGAACACATTTAATGCCTGAGTTTTAAAAAGGTCTACACACGCCTTGTGAGCATCAGCTGTAAGGGTGGTACTAAGCGAATTAATCAATTCAGTGCAACAATTTTCTACTCTACTTGCATATAACGAAACGTCCTCATTGAATCTTTGTTTACAAGAGTTTAATTCTAGTTGCCATTGCGCCTGTGTTCTCCTATCAGCATAAATTTCTACTAAATGATCTTTTAATGAATTCCAAGTTGTGAATTGCCTACTTCGCGTTAGTTCTCTCGCTTTACCTGTTAACTTAGTTTTAATTATCGAGAATAAAATTTCTTTTTTATTGTTATCTATACTTTCTAGGGCCGTATCACAATTATCAATAAATTCATACAGTAAGGACCGAGTACCATCAAACTTAATTAACATTCTTTCCGCGGTTTCTAATGAGAGAGCCATTATTGGGTTTGAACGCGCACTTTCTTCACTTATGCTTTCGGGAATTTCGGTAACTTCCGGTGTTAAATTATTTACACTATTTTCGTTCACTGGAGTACCGTCGCACTTTTTTCCGGATCGTGTCTCGACCATTAACAAAAGTCACTTACAGTAGTGTGGTGCTTGATTCCATGGCCAACACCATACAAATCGAAGATTCCAGGGGGTTGATCACGGCTTCCTTCGGATCGAATAACGAATCAACCAGTCGGTAATTCGTCAGCACAATAATTAACCCTGATCGTATCCCAAACTTTTTCGGTATCCCACCGCTGCCACCACTTTTATGTAATGGGTTGGCTAGGGACAATTAATCTACACTTTGCACTACTGATGGTTTTTCTTTATTTTGTAGTTTTCCACAAATACAGCGACTGAATATCATTCGCGCGACGTTCTTAACGGCTCTAGTTTACATTTGGTTTTTCAAGTTCTTATAATACTTAGTTAATGAGGTGAAGGGAACAAGACGCCTAAAACTAACACATTTGACGATATTTTAATGAATACAAGGAAAATACCCAACACCTATAAGAAGAGAAAGGCAATAGTGTTTAATGGAAAAATATGACAAATTACGAGTACATTACATTGCGTTCTTACGAATAGGGGTTCCGAAGTTGTCTACTTGTTCGTCTGGAATTTCTAGTTTAACCGAGAGGGAGGAAGGAGCGAAGTTTAAAACTGTGCTTTCGTTAATCGTGCATTCCTCATTGGACATCTTCTTTCGGCGCAATCTACAAGTGTCATTTAGAAAAAAACCGACAATTCTGGCAAGCCAGCTGAACCCTAATCGAAAAAATACTTCCCGAAACCGGAACATGTGACGTGATTGATGACTCTCAGAGTGCAATTTCGCACGCTAGATGAAGGATAATGAAGAGGCAAATTTAATGGGAAAAGTCTCGTCTCATGCGCTAGGCAAATAAATTCTCGATAAATTTTCCTTGGGTGCTTACTCGATTTACTCCATAATTGCGAGGCGTGGCTCACTTACATAAGTTTGGAATTCTGTTGACGTTTCTTTCAATTCACAATCCACGTTAATAAATAACTTGTTTATTTTTACTTATCGTCGAACTGTAATCCTTGGTTGTTTGTGCGTTGTAAACACAGAATCTGGAGTGTGGTGATAAGCACGAACGTCGCTCATTTAATCGCTTCCTTGACATCTGTGGCTACGGGTCAATCTGCAGCTGACATCCTTTTAAAAACAGCAGGAAATCCAATGAAGCGTTAAGTGGAGTGTTAACACACAATCATCCAGAAACGACATTTAAAAAACTGCATAATGATCACAATATCGTGTTCTGCAGCACGTGTGTCGAGTGCAGCACTCGCCCTCTGAAGTGCTTTCCGAATGAATGCCTCATCCCTAACTAGCTTCATTAATAGCGCACCATCCTCTAATGAATACCAAAATTGCCAACTCTGCACTTGCTGCGACACTTCGTGTCGGCAACACGGCTAAGCCATCCGGATTATGTGTGTTTAAGCACTTTATTATTCAGAATTTCGAAATGTTGCCGCTTTTTAAACGAATGCTCTCCACTCCTTAATTAACAACAGAATCGTCGACTTGACGTCGAATCTGTTAGAGATGACATCGCCGAAGTTATGTATTCGGAATTAGAGAAGACATAAAGAGAGCCAAATTGAATTTCAGCAACAAACTTAAGAGTCAATTACGGAATGAAATGAAGTTTCGCAGAAAAGAGCTGAAATATATCAAATCTCATATTTCAAGCTGTTGGTTGCGGCAGGGGCGGGGGCGGGTATATATTTCATCTCTAGGTTATTACCTCCGTGTTTCGAGTCGAAACTGATTCATTAGTCCATTATCAACGGACACATGCCGGGAGAAAAATTCGACCTCAGACGGGTTTTCTGGCGATTTAGCCGAGTCGCGAGTCGATTGCGCGGCGAAAAGTCATTTCGGGGTTGTAATTGAGCGACGATAAGTGCGGAAGCGCAATAACTTCATTCTGTATTCACCACATTGCTCGGCGAGGATGTGGAGCAATATAGCAAAGTCAGGTATGTAATAAGAACAATTTGCCAACCGAATAAGCGATACACGAATGCAGAATTCGCCAGCAGTTTTGGCGAGCACTACATCAAACAGGACGTTTTCCATTCGACTTGATTAAAAACCAAGTGGCCGATTTTCGATGTTAAATGGATAAAGAAATTTCTCTAATTTGATGGTTGATTTTTAATCCTTTTTATCCTTTTACTAATACTTCATAAATAGCCAAGAGGAACATGAAGACGGGAAACTTGCGTTTTCGTAATTTATGGACTGCAAACGTCAAGCTGCGCAGTCTCAGTTGACCCTTTTTTGCGTAGGAAATTCAAATTTTAGGCAGGATTACGCATCTCCTTTGTTGGAAATGTTTTTAAAAACTTATTTTTTACTACTTATACTGATGTATCATATTCTTTTACGATGTAGTTAAGGAAAATTCTTCGAAGAAATTACGTAATAATTATTTCTTGTGATCTACATTTCTATTCTGTAACTCCGCCTTCACTCAGAAATTCCAAATTTTTATAAAACATTTTAATTGGCAATTAAACGAAAAACTTTAATTAAAGCACATCACTGTAACTACGTTTTTAATGAGACTTTAGCTTTATGCTTACATTCGCCATAAAAAAATTGCAAAAAATTGAAACGTTTGAAAACTGAAAATTTAGAGAGAAACTTAAAACATTGTTGTAGGTAAATATGAATTTTGCAGTTACGCTCCGCCCCTCGGTCTGACAACGAATGAAAAAAATCATCACAATTGAGACAGGGCGGGTGGGCGGGGCTTATTTTCATCACAAAATGTTTACATTTTATCTCACATTACAAACATATCTTTAGTTTAACTTATGAAGTTTATCATAAAAATAAAATTCGCAAAATCAAATGTTACAATTTTTCGAAAAAACTGGATTTATTTACCTTCCAGCAATTTTTGCTATGATAATTTTTCGTTTTCGTTTTTTTTTTGATGTTACAATTTTTTGTATCACAATGTTTCGTTTTTTCATTAGCTTTATATTAGTACTTGCTAAGATAAGACTGATTTTGGCAAATGAGATACCTTCCAAGAAAAGAGAGGGTGGGTGGGCGGGGCTAGTGCTTGCTAAGATAAAACTGATTTTGACAAATGATATATCCTTTAAAAAAGAGGGGGTGGGTGGGCGGGGCTAGTAGCTGCTAAGATGATACTGATTTTGGCAAATGACCTACTCTCTGAGGAAATAAAAGGTGGGTTGGCGGAACGAATACTTGCTGAGATAAAACTGAGATTGCAAAATCACTCTTATCTTAGCAAGTGCTAGCCCCGCCCACCCACCCTCTATTTTCTCAGAGAGTATGGCATTTGCCAAAATCAGTCTTATCTTAGCAAGTACTAGCCCCGCCCACCCGCCCTGTATTTTTTAAGAGGCTGTGGCATTTGCCAAAGTCAGTTTTATTTTTGCCTTTTTGTTTTAATATGTGTAGACTTCTTTTCAACATGAAACTTAAAATATGTTTAAAATGGAAAATTTGTATAAGGAAATATCGATTTTGTGATTAAGCTCGGCCTCATAACTGCAAAATTCATATTTCCTTGCAAAAATGTACCATGTTTTAAGTTTCTTGTTGTAAAAACACGGCTATGTATATTAAGAGAAAAAAGGCAAAATATAAGCCCCGCCCACCCACCCTGTCTCAATTCTGATGATTTTTTTTATTGGTCGTAAACCGTGGGGTAAAGCTTAACTGCAAAATGCTTATTTCTCTACGAGAAATTAAAATCATGTTTGTGAGTATCGTATTGTTCAAGGAATACTATGTATATTAAAAAAAAAATTAAGTAGTAATGAAGTTTTCATTCGTTGGCCAACCTAGGGGCGGAACCTAATTGCAATAATTGTAATATCCATATTTCATTACAAAAATTTACCATTTTAAAAGTGTATTCAGTTTCTAAGGTTAAAAAAAATCACAATTTAGCTGGGGTGGGTGGGCGGGGTAAATATTTTGCTTTTTTTTCTTAATACACATTCGTTGAACAACACGATACTCAAAAACAGGTTTTTAATTTTTTGTAAAGAAATAAGTATTTTGCAGTTAAGCTTGACCCCCTTGGTTTACGGCGAATAAAAAAATCATCACATTTGAGACAGGGTGGGTGGGCGGGCGGGCTTAGATTTTGTCCTTTTGTTTTAATATGTATAGACTTCTTTTCACAACATGAAACTTAAATCATTTTTAAAATGTAAAATTTGTATAAGGGAATATCGATTTTGCAATTAGATTCCGTCTCATAATTGCAAAATTCATATTTTCTTGCAAAAATGTACCACTTTAACCATGTTTTAAGTTTCTTGTTGCGAAAAGATGGATACCCATATTAAGAAAAAAATGCAAAATATAAGCCCCACCCAAAAAGCCTAGAATTTTTGGTAAATAACTAATCAGAAATTATTTATAGAAACATTTATTCAACTAGCAAGCGAAAAATAAATTTTCAAAAATTCCCATTTTTTTTAAATTTTAAAATGTACGTTTAACTGAACGAAAAAAAGAAAGTTAATATCTTCTAGAGATTACAAATCTGAAATAATTTTTACGATATCTTGCCAAAAAGACGAGAAATATGAGAAAAGGTTTTCCAGAAATGTGCAAAATTTGATTTTGAAAACGTTAAATGTGACTTCTGAAAATATTTATTGATATTGTATAAAGTATGAAATCGTGTGTGAAACTTCTGTCCGAACTATTGAGAAATGTGAGAAACAAACTTCCAAAATTTCGAACATTTTTTTTTGAAAAAAAAGTGCTAGCTTCTAGAGAATTCTCTTTAGATTACTAATGTGGAGTGGCGGCTCGTGACTGTTTGATGTGGTGAGGCGATGATAGAAGTTTGACAATAATAGTAATATTACTTTACTCTTACTAGTTAGTAATGATAGAAGTCTTGTTTGAATACCGGTCGTTCCCGGGTCAGTGGTAGGTCCTAATAATAATAATAATAATAATAATAACACCCATAACACACTAAATCAACAATGTTTTTATAAGTCAAAATTTTTTTGAAAGTAGTACTTTC